GCTATTTTAGAATATCAGTTTCGCGAAAATCATATAGCATTTAGTATAACATGTTTACTGAATTGCATTGGCATATGTAACGTCCTTACTGCGCTTCGGTTGTGGTCAATATCTTTGAAATGTAGCACAGCCAGCAGTGTATTATAAATTAGCTTATACTGTAAGATGTGAGTGTGGGGAGGGTAGTATGCCGAGCGATTAAACCTGGTCTATATGCAAGGGAGAAAACACATCTATCTGGTTAATTATCGACCTAGGTTAATGCTAAATAAAATGCAAAGGTAAGTTATCGAAGACCACTTAAAGATTGTGCATATTTGACATGCAAACATGTATGTAATATAAAACGGCTTGAACACGTGCTCGGTTGTCACTTTGAAACACATAGCATTTTCATTGATATATCATTCAATTGTCGCGGCATAATCATTTTCAGAACATTAAGTACTAAGCAAACGTGTTTAGGGAGCGCTTATTGATATATTACGGGTTCTACTTAATCACAAAGTATATAAATTGTATAAAATGTATCGATTGACACTCAACTCTAGAAATATCACTATGATATATATCAGATTTATTTATGTAAAAAAGTGTCAATCGATCCAAAACTTGGTTTAATCAATTTCAAACCCTTTCATTAATAGCAAATACATTGTTAGACATTCTCAACAGATTATTCTTAGCCTTGTTCTGTTTTAAAAGATGTCTAATTGCCTGTTATTTCATATTTCTATAGTGACAATCGAAGTGTCAACCGATGGTAAGCTGTAAAACATGGAATCTGGAATCTGGAATCTTGGAATCTTGGAATCCTGGAATCTTGGAATCTTGGAATCCTGGAATCTTATCATATAACCGCAGAATATGTTATTATCGAGATATTATTGTTATACTTATTTGCAACATATTGGTCTGCATGCGATAATTTAATACTTGGTGAGTTAGCTGAAGCAGACCTTGGTAATATATTATCAGTATATACTATACGTTGCAGAATTTAATTAATATCTCCGTCTTGATGCATGCCAATATATAATAATATAAACGTATCGGTTTATGATGAGAGCTAAAATCAAGTGCGTAGCACTGATAACCAAGCGGGAGGCAACTAAAAAAACCATATACATTATATATATCATTGCAATCAGGAAAACCTCAATTAGATGCACTATAACACCTCGTATTCCGTCGAAAAATACCACACTTGCGAACAATCTCCAGAGTTCATATGGTCTATATTCAACAAATTAAGGTTATGTCTTATATTATAAGACAATAAGCTACTTTGACTCCTCCTCTACACTAGTAATCAAGTTCTATATATTATTGATGATCGATTTCATGTATGGGTGCATTGTATGTTTGAATTTCGCCGAAAAAGCGCTAGATTAACGCACTGCCGCTACAACATTGCCAGTTGAAAAACCACGTGCTATATAACTCACTTACTCACATAGCAAGACTATGAGCCTCATTAACCACGTACTATTTAACCTTAATTCGTTGAATATAGACTATATGAACACGGCGATTGTTCGCAAGTGTGCTATTTTTTGACGGAATACGAGGTGTTATAGTGCATCTAATTGATAATTGAGGTTTTCCTGATTGCAATGGTCATATCTTGCGGTAAGCTGTAAAACATGGAATCTGGAATCTGGAATCTGGAAATCTTGGAATCTTTGAATCTTGGAATCTTGGAATCTTATCATATAACCGCAAAATATGTTAGTATCAAGATATTATTATTATACTTGTGCAACATATTGTTCTGCATGCGATAATTTAATACTTGGTGAGTTAGCAGAAGCAGACCTTGGTAATATATTATCGGTATATACTATACGTTGCAGAATTTAATATCTCCATCTTGATGCCAATTCATAATAATATAAACGCTGTGCGCGCATCTAAATAATGTCGTCGGTTTATGAATACTTGAATAGAGTTAAAATCAAGATCGTAGCAAGATATTACCATTGCAATCAATCATTGCAACCATTGCAGTTTGGGTAGGCGTTTCTGCTTTTCGACATATCAAGAAGTTTTTAATGGCTTGTTAAAAAATATTTAGAAGCATATCGAAATATACCGAACATCGTGTCTTCTTGTTGATTGCTGGAATTAATTTTGACTGCGCAAATGCTCAGAGTATGCTTTGTGTTCGGAGTAAACTCTAAACCTTAAACCTTAAACTCTAAGCGTGCAAAGCATAATGGGAGGAGCACCATTTAATCAGTTGAGAAATCATATATGGGACCAATTTCTTACAGAGATGGTAATTATCTCCTTATAACAATTCATTCACAAATAGTTGCAATATTCAACCACTTAACTTGAAACTTGTGCCCCTATTAAGCTTTGCGTGCTTAGAGTTTAAGGGTTAGAACTTAAGGTTTGGAAGGACAACCTTTTTTGAATTGGCTGTATTAATATGTCCTAGTTACAAAGATGCAGTTGTTCGCGTATGAACATGATCAATATAATATGAAACCTATCTATCAGGATTATTTGGGGCATCTGATTCGATTGAACTCCTGTAATGTTGCATGAAGGGTTTTGTTGTTGAAAATGCCATACATGGGTTGACCTCGTAATTTTATTTTATTTTATTTATTTAGCTTTGCCAAACTAGGGCAGGGTCACCACAACAGCATATGCCAATTACTGTGGGCCCTTTTTACCTAACCCACCCTGTCAACTTTCCCTGTGGGAGGAAACCGGAGTACCCGGGGGAAACCCACGGCTTTCGGCAGAGCGTTGACTTTTTACTCTTTTCACATGGGGACTGGGTTCGAGTCGCACTGAGAAGGTGTGAAAGGCAAGTGCGCTAACCACTTGGCCACCGAAGCCCCTAATTAGTATTTATTATATAGTAGAGAGTGAGATACTGAAAAATATACAGGGAGATATTTTCCATATCTTTACTAGTGAAGATATCGATCACGTGACTTTATCCAAATTGCTTTTTTGAACGTGAAATTTGGCAATTTTTGCCTAAGACTATATAATGAACAGAATATTACACGATATGACTTGAAGATAAGACTTTTATCTTCTCGTGCTAAAAACAATACTTTACTCATGCACTCGCTGCGCTCGTTCGTAAAATATTGTTTTCACCACTCGAAGATAAAAGTCATATCTTCACGCCGTCGTGTAATATCCTGTATTTATTATTTGGTCAATGGTGTTTTACTGGAAACTAAAACACTCGTAGAACTCATACGTCACTACATCCGGGACCAGGCGCGCGTATTTTCCGTATAATAGGGACATTACGATTTTAGGACGGCAACGCGACGGCGACTGCCAAAACAAACTCCTTCAAATAAATGGTAGTAAAGATAGTTCGTCGTATATTATCAATCGTATGAATTTAATACAATCTTAGAAGTTGAAGACATAGGTTTTATGGTTGGGAAGAGTTCTGTTAAACCCAAGTTTAAAGTTGCACGTTTAAAGTTGTGGCTTGGAATGCAGCCGTTGTATCAAATCTGTGATTTAGCGTTGTAAACAGAGCGAGAACAATGTCTAAATTATTCATATATTATAATTACTCAATTCTTTTCAATGGTCTATTCTCTTCGTAGCCGTTGCCATCCTAAAATCGTAAGGTCTCTAATTCACCCCTGCGAGTGACATACGAAGTTCGAAAATTTCCCGCCATTTTTATTGTTGTTGTTTTCAAAATACAAATGGTCTTTGGTTCTTTGGTTCGTATTTAAAACGAAATTAATGTTGGAAATAAAACGAAAACATTTAAAAGACATCTTGAGATAAGTAAAATTTATTCTAGTTTTACGTTTGAACTATAATTTTAAAAATATCGCTTTTACACTGGTCTTTCGCGTGCTTATTTACATGTCGTCTTTGTGTGTATTTTTGTCACTCTGAATAAGTCCATATAATAAACAGAACATTAAACGATTGCGAAAAGATATGGATTTATGCTCTCGTGTCAAAAACAAAATCTTACTCGTTCGCTGCGCTCACTCGTGAGATATTGTTTTTGCCACTCGAACATAAAATCCACATCTCTTCGCAACCGTCTAATATCCTCTACAGGGGGTATAAAAAAAAACTGAACAGATTTAAAATTGCTCTCAATTTCGCAAAACAGCTATTTGTATCCGTTTTTTTATATATATAGCCTCTTTGGGTACTTATAATGTAGAATTATGAGAAAATTTTCTCGAACTCAAATTTTGTGAACCAGGGGGGGGTGTCTTTTTCAACAAATTATAAATGGATCGCGCACAAAATTTAAAAGCTGCAATCATATTTTGAGTTAACAGATGGAAAATTTGTCGGGTTTTTAATTACTGTACAAAGTTTCAGACAATTTGGTTTAGTTTAAGCCCCTTAACTATTCACGCAAAGTTACATTTTTCCTAAAAATCATCTATTTGCATGCTTAGTTAATGCATTTGCCTAATTTGCATATGTCAGCAATATGCAAATTAGGTAAAGGCTTTAATTAAGCATGCGAAAGGCTGACTTTTTAGAACAAAATGAATAGTTAAAGGACTTAAACTAAACCAACTTGTCTGAAATTTTGTACAGTAATTAAAAACCCGACAAATTTTCCATCAATTAACTCAAAATATGATTACAGCTTTTAAATTTTTTTGCGCGAGCCATTTTTAGTTTGTTGGAAAAGACACCCTCCCCCCCTGGTTTACAAAATTTGAGTTCGAGAAATTTGTTTCATTATTTTACATTATAAGTACCCAAAGAAGCTATATATATATAAAACCGGATACAAATAGGTGTTTTGCGAAATTGAGAGCAATTTCAAATCTGTTGTTTTTTTGATACACCCTGTATACGTGAGGTTGCGGTTGCGGGATTCGACAGCTGTTCTTAGTTAGGCCTAATTTAATGTATAAAATCTGCACTCGAAATTTCCATCTAAATAACCCTGAAACCATTTAACTTGGAAAGTGTGGACTATAAGAATGTATAAGATCCTAATTAAAAATAATTCAAAGAACTTACGGTTTACAGAATCCATACTCTGCTTCTCTTGCTATTCGAGCAATATCTTCCCACGATGGTTGATGGGCACCAAATGCGTTACACACTTTCTTTGCTGTTGGATGATTAAACATGCCTTTTACTAGAAAAAGTTCATTGTGAACTATTCCTGAAGAATCAATCATCCCTCCGTATGGATCTGAAAGGAATATTAAAACGGTTAGATACGGATACGGTTAGAACTTAGAAGTCCGTATTGATGGTGCATGTACTTATATCAGTGAGGTCTACGCATTAGAGCGACATTTGTGTTAAAGAGAACTTCGTATTAAAGAGGCATCCGTATAGAAGTCGCCACATTAAAGCGATCTCCGTAATAGAAGTGTCCACATTAAAGAGATCTAGTTACTATTAGAGATGCCCACATTAAAGAGATCTATATATTAGAAGTGTACACATTAAGGCGATCCACAATAAAGATATCTCCGAATTAGAAGTGTCCTCATTAATGAGATCTCCGTATTAGAGAGTGTCCACATTAAAGAGATCTCCATATTAGAGATTGACCATATTAAAGAGATCTCCGTAATAGAGAGTATTCATATTAAAGAAATCTCCCTATTAGAGAGTGTCCACATTAAAGATATCTCCGTATTAAAAGTATCTGCATTAAAGGGACCTCCGTATTAAAGAGTATCTGTGTTAGAGGACTATCTTAGAGATATGTCCATATTTAAGTGCATATGAAATGAAATTTCTTATTTTCTTAAATGAAAGAACTCTTTAAGTTGTAGTGTAACTTACTTTTCAGTTTCTTGTTTTTATAGTTTGTTCCCGAGATATTTCAATTTGTTTGAAATGTCAATGAGTGTGAATATGTCCGCTAATTTAAGACGTCATGTTGGTTGCAAACTCAACTTACACTGGTTATAAATGTAATAACTCTAAAAACTGTTGATATCAGGTCACGTTTTTCTCCAGTGTATCATCACATTTACCAGTGTGCGAAGTTTGAAATTATCATCTTGAATGATTGCAACCAACGTGACGTCATAAATTAGCAGACATATTCACAATCATTTACATATCAAACATATTGAAATATCTCGGGAACAAACCATAAAAACAAGAAACTGAAAAATAAGTTGCACTACAGTTTAGAAAGTTATCCATTTTAGAAACGTGTCCGGTCCAGAAAGGTGTCATGGCAAGTAGGCAACAACGAAGGAACAACGAACAAAGAAACTCAAGCACACATATACACACACACACACACATGTATTTTTTCCATTAGTCGCCCTTTTAAATGGGCGAAAATAATGTTGATATCTTCAACTGTTTAATGCGAATAAAGACAGAAAAAATTAACTGTTGCAGTACCGTAATGAAATATATAAATCATCAAGCTTACCGTAAATCATCTTCTATTAATCGCTTTGCAAGTTTTTATTTCAGCACGTTAATAGAGAGGCAAAATTCATTGATTTAGATAAAGAAAATGGTAATATATAACCGCGTAAATACCCAGTTTAATTAATCAGTCTATCAATCAAATTGATTCTTAGTAATGAATCAGAAGAAGTTTGAATAGAGACGGACAAGCAGTTAATAAAAAAGGAGATTTTAGAGGCCGAGTCTATTGAAAGGAGAAGTGAATATATTTGAGAGGGGGTTTAATAGTCGATTTACGATACAGAAGTTTTCAAGTCACTTACTATAATTCTCGCAGTGCTTTCCAGCATAATTAACAGAACAACGACATTGCCAAGTTCCTTCCTTATGATTGCTGGCACATCCGCTTCCATTGTGACATATTACACCCTTGCAATTGGTCTGAGATTTGAAAATATATGGATATTAGGGGCCATATTTACGCGCGCATACACGCTCGTATGCGTCTATATATATATATATATATATATATATATATATATATATATATATATATATATATATATATATATATATATATATATATATATATATATATATATATATATATATATACTAAAAGAGAATGATTTACTTGTTTATATTTTCAAATTATTAATTTAAATTAGTTTATTTCTCGTTTTTCCCCAAGGCCATAACTTTTTTGAAATAACGATTTTCCCGGCCCGCGGAGAACTCGTAGCAAATTCACCAGGGAACCTGCAGGGGGCTAAAACGTCATAAAAACATGTCATGGGCGTAGAGAGGCATCAACATCACAACAGCAGTTGTGTAAGATTTTTGTCAAGAGGCCCCCAGTTTGAACTGAACCTATATAAGGTCCCGTTGATTTACCATTCAGAGTATCGGATGACTATTACTTTATATTTTATATTCATCTGACCCAAGCGACCTATGAGATTCTTGGAACCACATTTTAATGAGGTTAAATATATGCATGCACGCGCTTCCTTGCGGACAGGAAGAGTTCGAAATACATATAATTATGCTCCTTGGTTAACTAGTAGGGACCTTAAGCAAACACGACCTCGCGCACGACAACGACGACCGGAAGTAAGTTTGCACGATTTTAAACCCATTGCGCTTTCTTCAAAATATGTTGACGTTCTCATGCCTTTGTCGACGACGGCAAATGGAGTCTTTTGACGTTTTTGTGAAAACGTGAGTATAATTTCGGATTTTTTGGCTGCTAGGCCTATATTTGTTTTACGTATAGATAGGCTTAGCCCGATGTTTTTAAAAATGCATTGAATCATTCTTATACAGATACAATTCGGTATTGGTAAGAATTTGAAAGAGATTAGATCATGCTTTATAATGATTAAAGGGACTGGTCTATACCTGCATGGGTACGAAATCCGCTTGAGCAACATACAAAGCCCTGTCAAACCGTCACATATTGAACGTTGTTCGCATATCAAACGTTGCGGGATTTGAAGGTTTTCTGCAAGAACTAGTATGCCCTGTTTGCGGAATCTGAACTCTGACAAACATTCATCATCAGTCATGTCATGAAGGTTGAAATTAGGGTACAACTCGTATGGAAAATCTGTTTTTTTTTTAGTCGTACAATGTATGAACAATATAAAAACAATTATAATTGTTCATCATCAATAATACCTCGGTCGTGGCATGAGAAATAACTTCTGTAATTCCTTAAAAGATGACATTTGTATGAACAAGTTATTTTTTTTGTTGTTGTCAAAAATTCTCAACGTTCTCGTGTTGCAGTGTTGCTTAAATGTTCTATTTCCCGCGGAGAACGGTGTTTTCGTTCCAGTCCTTTTTCTACCTCTACGTTTGGGGGAGTACACCTTAAATTTTACGTTTGCGACATCATGTTATTGTATTGGCTCTTAATATTGATAGATTATTGCAATTGCAACATGCTATACATCATTTCAAAGCTTATTAGATGCTAGCCTGCGCGCAGACTATATAATGACATATATAGTCTTCGAATCCGTGGCATGAAGCTTGTATGGTCACGTGAATTTCCCAAGAAAAGTTGGGACGAATTGTGATTGGTTGAACTATAATTATGCAGAATTAATGTTAATTCATCGGACATTGCGTTCGCAACGCGCGTTGAGCTGTTCAAAATTGACCGTTTCCAGGGTCAAATAACAATGTTTATTACAGTTGTATTTATAGAAGTGTGGCGGACAAACAAGAAAGGCCGTTGTAGAAGAAATCTATAATATTACATCTTCTGTTTGGCGAAATGGGCTTTCGGTTTTGAAAACAACGTCCTTTTTTGTTTATCCGCCACACTTCTATAAATACAACTGTAATAAACATTGTCATTTTAGTCATTTGACCTTGGAACCCGTCAATTTTGAACAGCCAACGCGCGTTGTGAACGCAATGTCCGATGAATTAACACTAATTCTGCATAATTATAGTTCAACCAATCACAATTCGTCCCAACTTTTCTTGGGAAATTCACGTGACCATACAAGCTTCATGCCACGGATTCGCAGACTATATATGTCATTATATAGTCTGCGCGCAGGCTAATTAGATGCTGAAAACGAATATAAAAATAATATACAAAAGTTAATTCATAATAGGAAAACGTGCTTGTAAGCATGACAAAGTCTATTTTTCGGCAGTCCATCTTTAAATTCTATTTTGTCAGAGGCCACCTATCATAGACTAATGATCATTATTTCTTTATATTTAGTACACTTTAGAGAAAAAACTAATATTGGATGCTTTTGGAGTAGCTAGGTTTCTTGTTCCCATGGGAACCACTTGAATAGAAGTAACATTCCACTGTGTGGTAAAATTTGTCTAAACTTATAAGGTAGTAACCAATTGAAAAAGCAACTATTATTTCTTTTAGTATTGCCTTGGGAATCTTCCCTGAAAAAATCAGCAAGATTGGTGAAATAGTTTTCAAGTTATTGGGTTTTAAGTAACGGCCCCTGCCGAAAATACCATTTTTGAGAAAACGGCTAACAAAGTTTATGAACCATGCACAAGTGTTTTCCATGTGTTGTGTTCTAGAAAAGACATTTAAAAACTAATGTCAAACATTGTTGGTCAACTCTGATGTTATTTCAAAAGTAATTGAGCAAGTGAAGCATTGTCACTGTCACCAAACCGCAAAAATATTCAATTTGTCTTTCAAATCATCTAAAAGCAAGAGAGAAAGGACAACCGAAATGACGAAATATGATCTCGTTTCCATAGCAACGAGATTCAATATTCCAAAGTCCTTCACAAAATTAAGCTTATATTTTCAAAAAAGAAAGCTCAAACAGGCCCGTTTTGATTGGTATACGTTTCTTTAGTACCTAAAGATGATTTTAGCAAAAACATTTCCCGATATTTTGAAGGTGTATCAGGTATACTCCCCCCTAAAGGTCCCTATAATAAAGTACCACCGCAATGCCTATGACGTATAACACAACGCATCAGCATAATTATATACTGTAAGGATATCACGTGACTCATGCATGTGAGCACATGGAACGTCGAAGGAACGTTGAACAAGGACTGAATATAGTTGAGTTATAAAGTAAAATTAAATGTAGTTTATACATAAGATAAATAAAATATATAAAGTTACATGGTGTCAGAAAAGAGATTTTAATCAAAGATACAAGAACCCGAAATGGCAGAACAAATTCCAGCTCCCAAACCGTTGAAACTCGTTGGAAGAAAGCGTTCGAGCTATACATGACCGCTACTGAGAAAGACAACTATCCGGAAGTGATATACCTCTATCCAGCTATCCGGAAGTGATATACCTCTATCAAGCCAAAGCAGTAAAGCTGTGATTAAAGGTATGAAAGTAACTTTCGCCAGACATGGCATTCCTGATATTGTTCATAGTGCATGATAATGGACCATGTTATAGTAGTCAAGAGTTTGCTGATTTCAAGAACAAATGGGGATTTAAACATGTTACCAGCAGTCCTCATTTCCCGTCCTCTAATGTTAGTTGAGAAGGCTGTCCAGACAGTAAAGAATATTATAAGCAAATTAATTGAAAGCGGAACAGACCCATATCTCGGACTGTTAGCATATTGATCAACACCACTTGACAACCATAAGTCACCAGCTGAGTTACTGATGGGAAGAACACTTAAAACAGATCTTCCAGTTGTAGAAAACCAGCTCAATGTTAAAGATTCCAAAGCAGTTGTTGCATGGAAAACGAAGAAAAAATAAATCCAGAAGGTTTATCATGATAGAGAAGCGAAACCTTTGCCACCACTGAAGCAAAGTGAGGTGGTGAGAATCTACGACCAAGGAGAAAAGGCAACAGTGAAAGAAAAGATTGCACCTCGTTCGTACATAGTGGAAACCGGATAAAGTCCAATACAGACGAAACAGGAAACAACTGAGTAAAATTACCTCGGAAGTAGAAGACGGAATGATAAAAATGCAAGCACAACGAGCAACAAGTCGAGACAAAGTCGTTACCCTGAAATGAAGTATCAAGAGACAGATCAAGATATGTATGGTAGAACAATAAAGAAACCTCGTAGATTTGAACAACACACTTAAAACAGATAAGTAAAGCATGTTAGGTTAGGACTTAAGAAGAACTTAGTAGTTGTTATAAGACATCAACTTTAAAGTTAACTTTATCTCATGACAGCAGACGGTGTTCAAACTGTTGATTAATATTAACTTTCTTATTGTATGGGCAATGTAAGGATATCACGTGACTCATGTATGTGAGCACATGGAACGTCGAAGGAACGTTAAACAAGGACTGAATATAGTTGAGTTATAAAGTAAAGTTAAATGTAGTTTATACACAAGATAAATAAAATATATAACGTTACATATACGTCGGTCAAACTTTCAACAGTTCTCATTTAAATTTGATGTACTATTAAATTAAAACACGAGCAGGAGTGCTTTATCAGATATAAAACACGAGAGCGTTGTATTTTAATTCCTCGTCAATTCTTAATGTGTTTTGTAACTTAATTTGCCTCTAATTCACTTTTAAATTAGAAATAAATTCGTGTAACTTATGTGTTAATAATATCACCGTGGTATTGTTATTGGGAGACACAACAACATAAGGTGAGGCATATAAATACTTCTTGAGAGACTAAAATTATTTGGGTTTTTATACAATGATAAATTCAATGAATCAATTTATAAGTGATCACTTTAAAGTTAGATATGTGGCCATTTGCTTTAAGAATCCCTTCTATACTTAAAGTATTAAAGTATTTTAGCATCATTTCCATAATTTCGAAAAGTCGGAATATACTGTATATTGCATGGGAGGCATTTCTTTTGCGATAACCTGTAAATACATAAACCGATATTTTTCAAGACCCGATAAATATCTAACAATCAAGAACATGTATTTTACAAACCGCTTCCAGATCACGAAACAACTTCCATTCTCCTTTCGTTGAGCCAGTTTTATTTTTGCTTTTAGTGACGTTAGTAAGCTGGCAGTTTTCGTGATTGAAACTTGCTCTGACGTTGAATCCAACACATCTTGTATGTTCTTCACAAAGAAAAAGGCACTTTACAGCGGTGACCCGGATTGAACCTCCAACAACATGACGTGACAAGATTTCCTCTGCAGGTAAAGGTGGACCTCCTGCGTGCAAACGAAAATATAGATGTTCAAATTTTGTTTGAAAACTATACTGAATTACTACTGTGAGACAACTTATTTATATGGCAAATGTGTTATTCAGTTTTTTTTTCTTCGAAAGTATTGGCGAAATATATGAGGAGGGGACGAGTTATCCACCATGCAGTACATGTTGCATCAAAGAAATTCTTTCGAGGATTTTCTCACGGTATCTTTCATATACTGATGCAAGCAAGCTTTATTAGTCGTTATGTATTAAAATTTCGTGACGGATATACTCCATCTATAAAAGACTTCTCAACGTTGTACCGTAGCAAATGTTCTTTTTCCATTGAACGACAGCCTTCTTACAGTTAATTTAAAAGGCGGAATAAAGCATATGGAAAGAATCAAAATAATCATGCATGACTTACCTACGTAGATGGGCTGATAAACTCTATTGACACATTGATTGGCATTACACCTTGCAATGATCGCGATTAGTAATGTAAATGTGATCCATTTAAGACATGATCTTAGACGCCAAGAATGCATGATGCTCCCTGTAAGATAGTCACACAGTAACTGAGTCAGTTTATTAGTGAAAAGTTATCGTTTAAAACATCATGAATGTAGCTGACGCCAATTTCTTGAACAATTACGAAAGTAAAACCAAAAAAAAAAGAACAACATTTACTACGAATATTTAGCTGTGGCACAGGTAGGTTTAAAAGGCAATTGAACTGTTTTGAATCTCAATATTATATATATATACATAAAAATCAGTTATTTTCATGAGAACGATTTGTTATTCCATCTCAATTTTTTTAATCTCCAATCGCAATAACGTAAAGTATTATTACCCGCAAACCAATGAGTCAAATTTAAGAAACAACCTACTGTTCGAAAGCTGAATGGCTACGCTTTAAAATGAATGTAAACTTTAACGTTTTCGTCTATTATTTGTTTAGCAATTTACATTTCAGTCGAGGATTGCGCTTTTTTTGTTACACCCTGTATATATATATATATATATATATATATATATATATATATATATTGCCATATTGAAACAGCACAAATTGCTCCGTCAGTACGAGTTTCAAGCTTTAGTTTTCCAAAGATCGATCTTTTTCGCGACAAGAATATATACCAAATGGAAACACTACGTGATTTGTTTTTGCGACAAAATTCGACGCGAAGTGTAATAACTCGCTGACCAAATGAGAGAGGTGGAGATCACATGATTTATATCTTACGACCTTTCAATTATTAATCAATGTTTTTCGTTGGATATAGAAAAATATATCTATTTACGGAATTCAATATTTTAAATTAAGTGTTCCATTTATTTTATTCGGGGACATTCATGCATTGCATTTACTATAGGGCCTTATACTGCTTTGCACTGTACATGTTTTATTAAACTCGAAATTGAATAACACTATAGTCTGATCTGTTTTGCAACTGATGGTGTAGCCATGCAGACCTTCATTTTTGGGGGGCGAAGCGAACGCCGAAGGCGTGAGAGTGCCTAGTGGGGTAGGGGGGCATACACCACCGGAAAAATTTTGAAATCTAGAGTCCCTGAAATGCGATTTCAAGCATTTTTGGAATGAAATCTTGCAGAATTCCGAAGATTATATTAAAGTAGATCGAAGACATGAATTTTCCCAGACATTTCTTCTCGGGATTAATTAAATTGGAAATGTCACCTTGAAAAACAGGAGGAGGGGTCAGTGTCACCTTTTTTCCTCTCTGTGATGCTTGGGGGAGGGGGAAACCCCAATGCGAATTTGATCAGAAATGTTGCATTTAAATATTTCTAGATTCTATGAGACAACATTTCTGCATTCTCGAAATTACGTTTCAAGACGTACTTAGTCAGTTTCAGCTTCGAGCATGTAATGTGTACCCCCCCCCCCCATTTTTCTACAGATTTAGCCTTTTTGAGAAAATGGTTTTTGTGGCGATTGGGGGGCGGTCGCCCCGTCGCCTATACGCCACTGCCTGTTTGCCACCACCATATTACTTTGTTTACATCGTGACTTCTGCAAAAATGCATTAAGTGCCTGTGGATTTGATTATACATATACTTTATCATTTCGGACGTGGACTCGGACTTGGACTCGAAATATTTAGGACTCGGACTTGAAAAGTTTGGACTAGGGGCTTGGATTCGTATTTGGACTTGAATGTTTTGGACTCGGACTTGGACTTGGACTCGTAAGTTGTGGACTCGACTACAACACTGCCACCAATATATGTAACGGTTACCACTTGTAGTGTTCGGAAGAGGTCCTACAATATCAATATCGACCCGTTCCATTGGATATCCCGCATGTTCAACTACCTGTGGGGCTCGACACTTTCTTGAAGGTTGATTTCTCTCGGCACTTTTCGTGCAGTTTTTGCAATACGTTTCGACGTCCGCTCTCCAACCGCCCCAATAGAAACGCTTGCTTATAGTTTCCGTCATCTTGCTCGATCCCAAGTGCTCGGCACTTTGAAAGCATGTCATGTATATATTCCAGGACTTCCTTGATTATCTTTCGAGGCAGACAAATTTGTAGAT